GTTCTCAGTTCGCAAGTTACGAGCTACAGACGCGTGTGCGACAACCAGTGATAACCAATCATATCTGAAGTGTGTAATTCAGGGAGACTTGTATAGCTCCCGCGTTATTGAGATTTTGTTGTAGGGTTTGTAAAGTGTGGAAACCCGTAACATTGTGATAATTAATTGTATCCGATATTTGTAGATCGTTAAATAAACCAATTAACCATCACGGCATATTCAGTAACGAAACACGTTACAGTATAAAGGAAAACAACCCAATTCTTAATAGTAACTGCAGCTAAATGATCAGCGGAATTAAAACAAGACCAGCAAACAACAGCAGTGTTATTTAAACGGGGGAGCGAAAGGTTAATACTTGTTACTAAAAGAACGACTAACATAAAGGAAGAATGGACACGAATTGCCGAACGAAATACGATTAACAAGATTTCCTAATGTTTGTTCACGACACAGTCCGTGAGTGCATTCATCACACGCTTCTCACGCTCTTCATGTGACAGCATGCACAGTAGAACACAAGAACGTCGGCTGTCTCCTTTGTGCGCAATACGAAAGCGGTGTAACTCTGTTTCATGCAGCCTTGAAATCACCAATAGGAAAAAAAGGTTTCTTTACCTTGTATCGTGAGGAATTCGCCTTTAACGAATCGGTCATGAAAGCCAATGAAAGCCCAGTTGTTTCTGTCTACATCCTTAGCGAAAGGCGTCAAGGCATATAGATCATGCAGAACTCTGGACTCTGCCTCCGAGTTTATGATAGCGAGGTGACTTCCCTCCTGGTCGCAGATACGCCTTGCTTCATCCCACTTCTTGCCAGTCGTATGAAAGCTGTAGCGTGTAACATTGGAGAGTTGCTGTTGTCCTGGTTCGGAGTTGGTGATTGCGACGTTGGAATTAGACACTGAAAAATACCAGTTGCGCGGTGTTACCCTGCTCCAAATTCCAGAAGCACTATGTCCAACAGCCACAAGAGCGTACATGGGCTTCGGTGGCGAGACAGGGAAAGTATAATGCGACACTATGTACTAACCGCTATTTAAAATTAAATGCATACAGAATTGTCCTATTGAAGGAATTTGCACATCTGCAAGCTTTTATTTTCCTTGGCACTACAGCCCCAGTGGGCCTAGGCCTACCTCATGAACTTCTCCATTCATGATTTATTCCAGCCGTCTTACAGTGCATACAGTCATCCACTTCACTCTTCACTCCTGCACTACACGTTTCGGCACAAAGGTGCCATCTTCAGGTGCTTTTCGATTTACGTTAAACCACTTCATTGCATGCCTTGCTGTTTTCATACTAAAATAACTAAAATATATGTTCATCATATATATTGATAAATATTAAATATTAAAAATATTAAAACTTTTCAGGATTTTTTATCCCTACGTCGCATCTCAATACGCTAGTCACACCTATCCTCTTCTATCGGAGCAATCTTCCTACTTTCGTGTGTGTATTGTACTTTGTGTTGTGTCTTGCTCCTGTGACTGCGTGTGTTATACTGCTGGGCCTGTTGGCTATACCTAACAAGAGGTTCCAGAATAACCGAGATGGCAGTCCAGGAGAGCTGAGTTGAGAGTTCGGTTCTGTACGGTAGGCTCTGAAGGAGAGAGTTAATTGCAAGAATGCAGCTGTGAAGAGAAGAATTTATGTGTAATATGTGGAGGGTGTAATTCAGTAAGATCTTTATAGTTCCTGCGTTGTAAATCCGTTGCCAGGAAACGGATAGTGAAGAGGTTATTTATATGGCATAGTTTCAGTAATCCTAAGTGTATTACACTTATTTGAAGTTGCAACTTCTTATTAGTTAATAAATCCAATTACCAATCTGAACCCCTTTTAGTCACTGATACAAATGGCAATATCTAACTTTCCCTTAGCAGTCTAAATTCCATCATTGCTCCATTTGTGCCCGTCATTACCCAAGTTTTTTAAGTGAGGGGTGTCACCTCTGACACAACAGACACGCAATAACGGGTCCGTGATCCCTCTACACATATGGCCCACTCCAAATCACACACTGCCGTTAAAAAGTTAAAATCTGAGAGAACACAATACCGGAAATATGAGGATACCCCGTGTGTTGTGCCCAAAATCAAAACAGAGCTTAAGACTGTTCTCTGCACAGTGACACTGACCTGTCTCAGTTTGGGCCGAGCTGATCTGTCTCTGGGCATCGCCACACTCCCGTTGCACCTGCAATCACGTCAGTTCTGGACGTGGTATACACACAAGTGGAGCCATCTGAATAACATAGCA